AGGGGCAGCTGCGAGGCAGCTGCGCCTGAACTACTGACACGATGAGGCGCCAGCACAGGCGCCAGGTGCAGGACGGCTGCATGCAGGATGCTTGAATCAGGATGATGGGATGTGCAGCGAAGGTCGATGGATGTGCGGGGAGGGTGGGACGGGTGTGCAGGAAGAGCCGCATCGCCTGGTTGTGCCCCTCCTGTGGGCCCCTCCAGGGGATTTGGAGCCCTCGGACAGTTGAGGGGCAGCCGCGGCCAATGGTCGCGGCTGTGGCGATGGCGGGCGCGGCCGCGGGGGCTTGCTTACGTACGGTACATACTCCCTGGCTGAGTCCCGGGGGGTGACTCCTCTTTGACGCGGGCTGACAGCATGCGTGTGGGCGTGTCGAGGCGCTTTTGTTTCATCGATCGGGCAAGCAAGACATGCACGGCACATATCAAGCGGATTAGTCAAGCAGGGAGACCTCAGGCCTCAGACTGCGCCGCCCAGCGCAGTGCGCCCATCGAAGTGCGCGGCGGGGTCGTAATGGGGCCTGGGGTGGCAGGCGTACGGTGTGACCGGGGCGCTCGGTGACGGGTGTGGTAAGCAACCGTGACACACCGGTGTTGTGGCAATATGCACCTGCCATATATATAATCATGCGTGCACATGGATCCGCGTTCAGTTCAATGATCTGAGGCACTATCCGCTGTCCGAATCCCCTAGCTTAAGTATTGCACAGAGATTTGATCGTGCTGCACCCAGCAAAAAGCGCAGCCGGACGGCGCCTCGTGCACGCGCCGGTTTCCGCGTGCTGCGCGGCGCGGAGCCCGCAGCACTGCGGTCCCGCCGCGCCAGCGCCACCGCCAACGATTAGGGCGCCCCGCGGCCGGGCGCCATGGACTTGTTAGAGGACTTCGACCGCGCGCGGACGACGCTCACTGAATTGGGAGCCATAGGGGAGCGGTTCGAGCCCCTGGCGTCGAGCGACGACGCAGACACGCTCACCTTTGGCGGCGCCGGCCTCGACCCCGGCGCCGTCGGCGGCGGCGGCGGCGGGGCGGCGGGGGGCTATGCAGACCTGCCGACGTTGACGCTCGAGACCACCGCGCGGCAGGCGGCGAGGTGCGGCGCCGCACTGTTATTCCCCTGGGGTCCGTTCTCCCGCTGTGCTGTTGCGCCCTCGGCGGCGGCCCCTGCGCTCGAATCCAATCCACCTCCGGCACGCCGCTTGCGGGCAAACCCGGCCAGGCGCGCGCCCTCCAGGCGCTCTCGGCGGCAGCGGCGGCCCGGCCTGCTCAAAACAGCGCGCGCGGCGCATCCCGTCATCCGCCCCGCCCTCAAAAACCAGCGCCCCGGCCCACGCGCACGCCCGGGCCCCAAACCCTTCCCCTGAGTATTGTCAGGGGCCGCGGCCAGATCGTGGCGGCGGCGTGCGCAGCGGATACGGTGCTGCTGGCGACGTCCCGGGGATATCTGCTGCGATACCATTGGGACGAGCACGGCAACGAGCGGGGTGAGCGCTGGGCAGCGTCCAGACAGCTTCCCGGCGGCTTACCTGCGGGTTCTGGGCGGCTTCCGGGCGGGTTCCTAGCGGCTTGAGGGCGGCACGGGGCGAGCGGGGAGTGGCAGGGCGCGGCGGCAAAGCAGGGGCGGGCTCGGCGGGGGGCGGGGACGGCAATCAGCAGATGGGGTCTATGCGCTGATTGGTGGATGTTTGAAGGGCTTGGCTTGTTCATTCCAAGCCATACATGTGAAGGATGTCCCGAGGTTTGTGAGGGAAGCAGGGGCTGAGCGACAGAAGTGGGGGTGGCGGCGCCGGCTCCGGGGCGGGCGCGGCGACAAAGAAGAGGGGAGGGTAGGGCCGCGGGCGGCATGTGCCGCCGCGCGCTCCTCAGCCCCGCGCCTGCGTGTGTGCACCTCACCTCGAAAGCCACCAAAAATGCGTGCGCACGCACACACGCACGCCGCCCTTCCCCAGACATCTTTGCGCGTCTGTCTGGCCAATGCGCTGACTGCCCCCGCGCTCATACAGGGTCATACATGCCGGAGCTGATGCTCCCTCTCAAAACGACTCCTCCCCCCACAAAAGGAGAAAACCACAAGCTCCCCTCCCAAAACCAGCCCTCCACCCCACCCCATGCACCCTCAACACTCCTCCCGCACCCGGCCCACCCACTC